CAAACTGTTCGGGTCGATACCACGTTACGGCCCCTCAGACCCTGGGAAATGAGACTCAACTCCGCTTCAGTGTCTTATCTCGGTTGCTCAGGAGTGCGGATCGGCCTGAAGCTGGGCCAGCCCTAAAGTTAGTCTGATGCAACGGGAACCCAGCATATCCATTTGGCTTGTGCCAGGATGCACGACAGAACATGCGTTATGTGCTGGCAACAAGTGTTGATTTCACCAGATAATATCTAGTTGTACAAGATGGGTTGGTAAGAGAGCGCGGCTGAGACATAAGCATCTAGAAATTGTTTCGAGAGAGAAACTCTATAAGCGCCGGCTGCAGCTACGGTGTAGCCTTCAAGGTGGAATTTGTTAGAGATCGACATTGGTCTACAAACCCAGTTGCTAGGCCAGGTTCCGGGATAGAGAGTGACGACTGGGGTTGGGCAATATCACCGATGAAGTTTCGAGACCGTATGTCAATATTAGGCTGCAGAACCGAGTCTTCTATAACAGTTGTCTACATATATCCAAGGATGCTAACCAAACAGGCCGACTATCCAATGGCGACTCTTTATGACCGCTTAAACGGATACAACAGTAGTCAAGGCTACTGTTACCCTCCATCAGTAGAACACAGAACCAAAGGGAACTTCATCTTTCATGACCTCTCAAGGCTCCTTAGCAACCTGATCTCCTGTATCCTTGTCCGCCTGTTCGGTCGCATCCTTTTTTATTTGCTTTGGGTCTTCTTCGCCGTCACTCTCGGCAGTAACCCGCAAGCCTTGGATACCAGCTTCCACTTCGTCAACAAGACTCTCAAGGTAGTCCAAGTCCCTAAAGCTGGGTTAGTATGGACATCATCCAAGCACTTAACACTATTTCTTGCTTACCTTCCAACGAGGGTGACCGTGTTGTTCTTCTTACCCCAGCGAGGGTAGCTTCCAACTTTGATACCCTTGGGCTCGACCTTGGCCGCCAAAGTTGTAAGATAATCGGCAACGCCGCTCTCAGGAAGGGGCGTGGAGAATAGAATTCTATGCGTGCCCTTGCCTTCAGGGTCAGTGAGTCGTGGCAGAATGTGAGGCTTCAATCCCTCGAGCAGTCTCTGGACTGTTATAGGTTAGCAGTGATATCGAGTGTGGTCAAGGCCATTACTTACAGAGTCGAGGGATTCCAGGCAGGATGTGGATGTTTCCATTGACCACTGCTACCGGAACCCAGAGATCATCATGAGGGAAGAGTGCCTGTTTCTTAAGATCCCGAGACTCGTCCGTTGGTAGCTCAGCCATGCGAAGCTTTGCCTTCCTGGCGGGTGAGTCTACGTCCCAATCGAACTTGGGTTGATTAGGGTGAGGCTTGGACAGCAGCTTCATCTTTTCAAAAGTTTCTTGGTGTAGCTTGAGAGGTAGGTTAAAAGCCTTGGCGATGGATTGATAGGTAATGTCATCGTGTCTAAGAGGTCAGTGACTGCCTGATGCAGAATGGAACACCTCTTACGTAGGTCCAATTCCGCCGCTGAGCTTTGTTAGTCATCTCTTTGGGTTGATGATGTTGAAAGACTCACCTTGTGACGACAAAATCGTAGCGGTCACTCATCCTCTGAACCGCCTCAACAATTTCACCTTCATCGTCCTCAATGACCTCGATTCGCTTCAGACTCTGCAAATGTTTAGTATTATCTTATGTTGATAGACGACCAAACTTACAATTCCGAGGTTGAAGCACCACTTGGCAAAATAAGCCGAGTTGGTCTGCTGGGGTCAATATCGTTTCTGACCCTGTACCGGTATTGCTCACATCAACAGTCTAGGCTCATAATGTTAGTATTTTTTCATTACATGATAACTTGAAGCGCGTCCTCTACCTTTCCGCCCAAAACCTCGTCGCCAATAATCAAGCAAGCGGCGGTGGAAATGGTGCGCGTATTGCGGTCGTCCGCCGACACAGGAGCCATGATTCTTCCAAAAGCAAATCGTCTAGCGTTTGTTGCAACGGGAGTAGAAAGATGCCTTGTAATCTGAGAGATGCGGGAGAACATGGATGGCCAAAGGGCATATGCAATATGAGAGGTTGAAGTGGAATCAAGTGATCCTAATCTGCAGGTCTTCTATTGAAGTCGTCTGTTTGGATGGAGCTCAAGAGCTGTTGATGACGTTGACTCGCTGGATCATGGCGGGACAAGGTGGGGGCTTTGGATGGAATGGATGTTTGCTTTCCTTTGGCGGGGCTCACCAACTTGCGATCGGTCAACCAAAGTCCTGATACTGTGACTACTATACCTGTTAACAGCTATCGAAGCTTCAAAATAGCTATAGACAGGCTTTATTCCTCGATAAATTACATACGAACCTTCACAATGGTACAGTCACCATCCATTATTTCACATCCTCCCCCATCACGCAACCGCTGACGATATCCGCGCAGGCGTCGGAATCACGACTGTATACCTTTTCTGGAGAGTCTAAGGACCATCTCCGCAAATTCCGACTAACTACTTCTCGAGCCAAGGGCCCTCAAGCTGTTATCTGTATGTACGTCTCTTATTGATGCTACATCGTCACCCATGTCCGCTTGCGCTCGCCTGCTGACCATACCTCATCTAGACCTGATCGATAAGAACACCTACGAGATCCGACAAGACGAAGACAAGACCGTTTACACCTCTCTCGAAGAAATTGGCGATGACCTTCCCGACCATGCCCCTCGCTTCGTTCTCCTGAGCTACCCTCTGACCATGGTACGTCCGATCGAGCATCCACATAACGAGCTTATGATATTGATACATAAATACACAGGGCGACGGACGGTTGTCGGTGCCATACGTACTTCTCTTCTATCTCCCCGTTACATGCAACGCCGAAATCAGAATGCTCTACGCCGGCGCCAAGGAGTTGATGCGCAACACGGCCGAGGTTGGACGAATTATTGACATTGAGTCGGCGGATGATTTGGAGGAGATTCCTGACAAGCTCAAGTCTGAGTAAGTTAACCAAGTCACATATGAGCAGGGAAACACGGCATGGCAGCGAAATCCATATATCATGATCTACATAACAGCGTAATGTTGAAAAGGCCTGCCTATTCATCCGGCAGCACATCCTGGGTATTTAATCCCAACTGCGTCGCAACGTTCTTAACTACTCCTTGAAACGCGATACATGCCGGGCTATCTGGGAACGAGTCAAAATAGCTCTCTCCGTAATCACACGCCATCCTAATTCTGGGATCCAGAGGCACTGCTCCCAAGAAGGGGATGCCCATCTCCTCAGCCAAAGCGCGTCCGCCGCCTGTGCTGGCCTTGAATATTTGACTCTCATTCGAGCACTTAGGGCAGACAAAGCCGCTCATGTTCTCTGCAAGACCCAATACCCGGATGCCGGCTTTGCGGCAGAAATCGATCTCTTTGCGTACGTCCAGGAGTGATACTTCTTGAGGCGTTGTGACCATGACAGCGCCATCGATTCCACTCTCTTTGAGGAATGAATTGACGCTAAGATGTTCGTCGCTTGTGCCTGGCGGTGTGTCGACGAGCAGAAAGTCAAGGTCACCCCATTCCACATCCTTGAGAAACTGCTTAATTAGACCGTTCTTCTTGGGACCCCGCCAAATAACAGCGTCGTCCCTATTCGGCAGTAAAAACTGAATGCTCATAACGGAGAGGTTATCCATAACCCAGATAGGTGACCATCCTGTACCGCTAACATGCACCGTCTCGCCTTCGACGCCCATCATCTTGGGGATACTAGGTCCGCAGATATCGGTATCCATGATGCCCACGGTGCTGTCCGGATTTGTCGCAAAGGCGTGTGCCAGCAGAGATGTGAACGTGCTCTTGCCCACACCACCCTTGCCACTCAATACGAGAATCTTGTGCTTGACATTCTCCAGGCGCGCCGAAATGATGGGAATGTCAGGGTCCGGACCCTTTGGCGCAGATGCGCAGATAGCCTGGTTCGGACACCCGGCGCATGAGTCCGCTTTGCCGGCCTGCTGCGAGTCGGGTCCGACGCAATTTTGGGGCTCTGGGGCAACGAGCTGTGGCTTCTGCTTTATTGGGTTGGCGAAGACATCGTCGACTGGTTCTGGCGCTTCAAGTGACGGCGCCATAATTGCTGTGATATGATGTGGTGTGAAGTTGTGGTGGTGCTTGGAGAGAGAGGTGAGTGGGAGGTGGCGATAGGAGCGCCGAAGCTTAATAATGGCACTGGCGCAATTATAGAGTATAGCGTTATGCAGAAAGTGAGAAAAACAGCAGTCCAGGGAATAAAGAGACGACAATGAACTCGATTTATTCAGATCGAAGCGTTGTATGAATGAAGAGTGTTTGAGATAAGGTTGGTTAAAAGTTCGACTGATTGAGATACATAATGGATGGTGATTGCTCCTAGGGTAAGTGCTAAGCGTCTACGCTGATTCGCTGCTTAGCAAGCGTCGGGCAACATACAGTTTCGCCGCGGAGTAACAATTTGTATGCGTCAAGCGACCTAGAGACTCTGATTGAAGTATCTTATCTTGGAGATTTTAATGCTCTGTATTATTCTGATCGGGCAAAACATTAGTGGGACTTTATGTATTTCTCAAAATTTTCAGTGAGGAGACAGGAGATGAATATCCTAAAAGAAATAAGACTACTGTGCCAGAATACCAAAATAATTAAATAGAGAAACAGACCCGGGTGTGAATTCTGTATACATCTATCTGCGGGTTTATACAGTCCTGCCGGCTACTAATTTGATAACCAGCTGCCAGGGTATTCTCTCACGCAAAGTTATATAAATATATTACTAACCGGAAAGAGTTCTTAAATCCTTAAATACGAACTACAATCCAGCATAGCTAAACTAAACAGTTAGAATAATGCATAGATATAGCATATAACTAGCATCCAAAATTGTTTTTCCTTTGTCTAACCAACGCGGTAGTTTTATCTTTATGCTCTTATTTTGTCGACACCTTGAACACTGGTCAGGGAATGAGTTCCAGATTACGAACTTCTAATTCCAACCAATGGGGAGCTGGCGCAACGGTAGCGCGTCAGATTCCAGTGGCTCTGGTGTCCTCCGAAGATTATCAGCCGGGAATTCCTGAAGGTTATCGGTTCAAATCCGGTGTTCCTCAACTTTTGCCTTATTATAAAAGTAGTTTTTTCTTAATTATTATATAAAGCTTTTTTTTTTTTAATAAGAAACTTAAATTTTAAAATAATTATAATAAGTATACTTTTTATTTTAAAACTTATTAAATAATAGTTTAGAAATAAATATTAATATATAAAAATAGTATTTTATAAAGAGTTTCAACTTGATAGCAAGAGCCTGGTATATATTATTTAGATTAAGCTCCAAGTCATATTAAATGGGGAGCTGGCGCAACGGTAGCGCGTCAGATTCCAGTGGCTTTAGTTCTCTTAGAACTATTCGGGAACTCCTGAAGGTTATCGGTTCAAATCCGGTGTTCCTCATTTGTTTTTTGTGCCTGAAATTGAGACTCAATCTGAACCTTTCTTCAACCTTAGCAGCTAAACACTGACCGGCTTTCTCTTTTTTCTATTCCTCCTATTCAATAGCTCTGCCTCAAACTAGTAGCATATTGCTCGGCACTTGAACATATAATTGGGGAGCTGGCGCAACGGTAGCGCGTCAGATTCCAGTGGATGTCCTTTTCAAGGTCTGTTCGGGGATTCCTGAAGGTTATCGGTTCAAATCCGGTGTTCCTCATCTTTGCGTGTTATTCTTCCTTTTGACCTTGCCTTTATCCTTTTTGTCTTGATTTTATTTGTCTAACGAGCTGTAAGCCTGTCCGGATGTCGGACCCACTAGGGCCCTTATGCCTAAAAACCATCATGGCTATCATGGACTGGTAAAAACCGAGAGCAGGTGGCGGGGTATTTTTCAATCTGTCTTGAGATAAGATAAGCCCATAACCCCGCGAAGATTTTATTCTGAACTGATTAACCTTGCGACACACTGCGATCGCCATTGCAAACTATCCTGATACCCGAAATGTCGCCGTCTGCTGACACGCCAGAGACCTCCAACTCGGCCGACTCTACGGTGCTGAGCTTGAGGAAATCCCTCTGCTCCGAGGACACACCACTCCCCATTCGTTTCCGCGCTCTCTTCTCTCTGAAGCACGTTGCGACCACCTCGGACGATGATGCTAAAAGGGTTGCGGCTATCGAGGCCATCGCCGCTGGCTTTACTTCGCCCTCTGCCCTGCTCAAGCACGAGCTCGCATACTGCCTCGGTCAGACAAGCAACACCGCTGCCGTTAAGCCTCTTCGACAGGTTCTTGCCGACCTAAAGGAGGACCCCATGTGCCGCCATGAAGCCGCGGAAGCACTGGGTGCCCTGGGATGGACAGAGAACCTGGACATTCTACGCGAATATCGAGATCGCAAGGAGGAGGACATCAGCATCATCGAGACCTGCGAGATCGCTATTGAACGTATTGAGTGGGAAAATTCAGAGGAACGACGAAAGGAGAAATTGCGCCCCAGGTTCGTAAAAGCATGTCGTGGGTCGCCCCTAACTAACATTGTACTCTAGTGATTTTGCTTCTATCGATCCTGCGCCCCCGATGCCCGAATCCGAGAAAGAGGCTGAAGTCGAGGAGCTGGGCCGAAAGCTCATGGACACAAGCTTGCCCCTCTTCCTCCGCTACCGCGCCATGTTCGCCCTTCGGGACCTCGCCTCACCTCCCGACCTGCCTACTGCCACCCCCGCCGTTCTCGCTCTTGCCAAAGGATTCGCCGATTCGTCTGCGCTGTTCCGCCATGAAATTGCATTTGTTTTTGGCCAGCTCTCGCACCCTGCTTCTATCCCTGCCCTCACTGAGGCGTTGAGCGATGTCAACGAGGCCAGCATGGTTCGACACGAGGCGGCCGAGGCACTTGGAAGTCTTGGCGAGGAAGATGGCGTTGAAGATACCCTAAGAAAATTCCTTCATGATAAGGAAAAGGTCGTTCGAGAGAGTTGTATTGTTGCACTGGATATCGCTGAGTATGAGAAGGGCGGAGAGGCCGAGTATGCTTTGATTCCCGAGACTGCGGGAACTGCTGCATGATTTATGAATGCGCTCGCATTGTCGAGTATTACGTCTAGTTGTTTTCATGCCACCTAAAAGTAGAATGTTAAGATCATATCGATAGAAAGGATTTCGGGTTTCTCACGAGTTACCGCATTCACAGTTGTAGATCACTGTTGAGCCTTCATCTGCACTACGCAGCTGCACAGTAGTGTACTTGACTTCCTCGCGACCGCATTTGGGGCACTTTTCGTGCACAGTGCTTTCGGTTTGCAGATTGTGCTTCTCAACAGCCTGGACGCTTGACTGCAGCTTCTGTCTCAAAAAGGAGGGGAAATCGGAGGGCTTCGTTTGCGTGACGGTGACTTTTGAGCCGGTATCTGTGCAAACACATTAGGCATGCCGCCAAAATTTTGCTCTAGAAGCAAACAAACCTCGATTTTCGGCGCCACAGCACTCGCAGCGTAAGACATTTCGTTGAGTTCCCTTTGTCGCGGGCAAAAGATTACCGCAGTCGGTACAGAAGACGAGAGTTCCAATTGCAGCCATTGTGTATCGCCGGGATGACTTTTTTACAATCGAAGAGCTTGTTCTACAAGGGAATGCGCAAGATCGACAAATTCAGAGACAAAAATTGGCCAAGCTACCATAGGCGCAAAGCAAAGTTGCAGGGGTCTTTCGGAAAAACCGACAAGGCCAGAATGGGGCTAACGGAACAAACGCTCACTGGTGGCGTACCTGGCGCACAGACCATAGACTGTCTATCAAGCATCTAAGGAAAGCTCGCGAGGCTGTTTGTTTCCCCAGGCTTCGACCTCGCCGTTTACATTCACTCAACTGGACAACAATGTGTAGCTGCATTTAATTTACACGTGTGGTCGCCTCAACAAACTTCCTATCGAATGCATCTCGTTGGATCCATCAGCACGAACACGCGCTCGTAGCGTGTCTCTTCGGCACAGTACATTCGAACTCTCAATGCGCAGTGGTCCGTTTGTTCTTTCCCTTCGAACTATGTGATGAATCGACTTCCCGAAGCGTGCGAGAATGAACAATATGCATCCCAATCAACGCGGGAGCCCCCCGAATGGGCTTCTTGCTCAAAAGGGGCCTGTAAATAACACTCCTGCCATAACTCGCCCTTTTACGCTACAGGAATCTCTTCCTTACTTACCACAAACCTCGACGATTCCATTCATTTCTGGTTAGTCGTCACTAACTTGCGAAACATCTTATTCTGACTTTAGCCAGATATCATTCCCGATCCTGTTTTGGGTTCAGGCTCGCCTGCTCCCCCTCTCCACGACTTGTTCCAAGCCCACGAATTCAACACCTTGAACAAGGAAGCCGCTAGCCAACACCAGATGCCGCGCAACGTTAAGCAAGCCGTGGATCATGTCCTTCAAGACATCAAGCCTAGTCAGCGAACTCACTAGTACGAGGACCACGTTGCGCATCGTGTTGATGATATTCTGACCGACCTATAGCAAGTTTTCCGCCATTTCAAGGACCACTTCAACCCCCCCAACCGGCAAGAGCCTCGTGGATGACCTGTCGCCGATCACGAGAACTGTCTTCGATAAAGTGGGAGGCTACTTCAAGGCGACCAAGCCTTCCGTTCCCGAGACTAAACAGCTCAACGGCCAAGCTGGAGGATACCCGACTCCCAAGCAACGCTCATCCTCGATCAACTCACCAAAACCACAACCTCATAGTCTTCCGGCACAGAATTCTCAGGCGCACAGGTCGAACTCTGTTAGGATCGAAGTTGCCATACCGTCTAAGAGACAGTTTGACCCATCCACCTATGTCGATGTGAGGGACATGCCTCGACATGAAGCTCCAGCTCCTGTTCCCCAAGATGTGCAACAGCCGTACCAGCAGCAACAGGCACAGCCAATCCTACAACCACCAGAAACTATTACTCAGTCCGCTCCTCAGCCTACTCCTGACGCCAACCAGAACGCCGCGTTTCGAATCGAACTTCCTCCTGCGAATATCAATCGTGATGAGTATCTCGAAATCGATGAGAGACCGGAGGACCCGCATCATCTGTCAGCTCACAAGTCGAGTCAGCAAGGTTATTCGGATAGTCAAGATCTGATCGGAGAGAGCCTCGATCAGCGTCAACGAAGTGATGCGGCTCTTTACGCACTCGACAAGCTTGTACGCGATGTTTTCAACTCGGTAGGGCGAGTGCTTGCAGACGAGCCTGGTCATGATCACATAGTTTTCATGTCGCCAGATCAAGAGGTCGCTATGACCGCCTCTTCGCAACAGAAAATGCATGGCGCGATCCAGAAGACGATCACTCTCAGATGTTTCGACCGGGTTCCTGTGGAGCATCTGGTTCAAATCATGAGGCTGTGTGATGCCAGTCTAAAGCAAGTTGAAAGCCTTGAGATACGAGTTGACGAGACTTGGTCTGAGGATGCCGTTGACGCATGGGTACAACAACTTTCAGAGGTGGAGACGATGCTGAAATCGGCTCGTACATGTCTGCGTATTCTCTCAGGTGGTAGAGAGGATAAACAACTCTACTCGGAAACCATTATCCAGAGGAGTGTCGACATCTTCAGGAAAGTCACAGAGGATATCGTCATGCCTCTGGTGGAGCTTCGTCCATCGGGCCCTTCCTCGGGTGTTTTCAAGCTGCTTGCAAAGAACAAGAAACCCATCACTACAGTCTTTCTCTGCTGCCAGAAGCTGTTTGCGTTGCTAGCTGAACTCGTCACCAAGATCGAGCTTTCAGAGTCCGTCATCAATTCGCTCGAATATACCGCGTCCCGCCTCATTTTCATGGAGAATGCATATTTCGAAAAAGACTCTGTTGTGGGTGTCCAAAAGTTTGATGGGCTGCGTTCCGTGGCAATGGATATGCTTTCGCAGATTTTCTTAATCAAGCCTGAGCAGCGTCAAGGCATTATCGACGAAATTCTCACCTCTCTTGAAAAGTTGCCCGTCGGAAAGCAGAGTGCTCGCCAGTTCAAGCTCTCTGACGGAGGCAGCATCCAGCCCGTCTCGGCTTTGATTATGAGGCTGGTTCAAGCCAGCTCCGGGCGAGTGGATAACAGCAAAAACAACCATCGCAGCAAGTTATTGCGAAACATTAATGGTGAGGAGGAGGAAGGTTCTGACGATGAACGCGCACCTTCCGGTGTCAAGCAGTTTGTTTCCTCGATTAAGAATGAGGTACAAGGCGCCAAACAACACGCTGTTGCTATCAAGGATCTTGAACTCTCTGCCGCCCCGCTCGCCGACGCGGCACAGCGCAATGCGTCCTATGTCGTGAACTTCATCGTCAAGCGCGCCATCGGTTCTACCAAGTCCGGTGATACGCCTTATCGAAACTTGCTTGATCTTTTTGTCGAGGACTTTACCGCCTGTCTTGACTCGCCGGACTGGCCGTCGGCTGAACTGCTACTCCGTCTTTTGATGATCATGATGGTGCAGCTTTTTGAAGCCCCCAAAACCGCAGCCCCAGCGAAGAACATGGCACTGGAGTTGTTGGGTGGGTTGAGCGCTGCCATCTCTCGCCTTCGCTCTCATGTCCAAAGACTGACAAGCTCTTCCGAGGGCGATGACGCGGATGAATTGTCCCGATACCTCGCTGATGTTGCCAATCAAGCCTTGGAATACAAAACCCGGGTGGAACAGCTTGTGGCCTGGACTGGGCCCTGCCGAGTTGTTC